ATCTCCTCCACATCTGTTGTCCTTCAGATGGGCTCTCTGAGATGGGAAGCAATTTCTGTAACTGCATGAATTTCTCTGCAAAGGGCTGAAGACTTGAGAGCTCTCACTTATTTAAGCTGACCCAAGAACTAGCTGACGTGACCTGCTGGATGTTCCCTATGGGCTTCTTAGGTAGGAGGACATCCCTTGCTTTACCGTGGAGTCTAGTCCTGAAAAGCTTATAGCTCTCCTCCCTGAACATACACGTAGCAAAGACCTGCAATATAAACTCAACACGTATTATTCTGCGCTGCATAGTTAGTGTTGGTGACCAGCTTGGATTCATTCCTTCCGGAATAACAAGGCCAGTCCCTTGTGGGGCTACTGCATATTTGGTGTTGCACCATTTTTAAGTTATTCACTGCCTTTATGCAGCCTTCCTGGGCAGCAGTTCATTATTAATCATCCTCATTATGGTACTATATTTTCTGTACCCTGTTTAGAAGACTCCTGCAGTCCAGCAGCCTCAGGCAATCGAAAAGCCAAGCTGCACAAGTGGTATTTCATGACTTGTTGCCATTCACATAAAAAAAATCAAAGGAGTGAGAGGCAGGTTCCCTACACAGACTCCAAATGGCAAGTGAGGAGTCATCCAACTCACTCTATTGCTGAATTCTTCCCTTGGCCTTACTTGACCAGAATGACCCCCAAGCTGCAGCTGAGGGAGCACAAATAGAAGTCTGTCTGTGTCTGCTGCCCACACAGTACACCATGGGAAACAACTGCCTTTCACAGCGTTAATCGGGTTGTAAACGGGCAGGTGTCTCTGTCACCTGACAGAACATTATGGCTTAAAGGGCTGAATCCAGCAGCCCAATTCATGCGAGTCGTCCTTAGCCCCCTGAATAGTGGCATCAGTTACACTTACTCTGCTGAGTTATGTGCAGGATCAAGCCCTTGGTTTTCCCCTGCCCTAGCAATTCCATTCAGCAGCTGCTCTCCAATTGGCTGGCTACCTTGGGTCACTAGAATAAGGGCTTTGTTGCACTTAGGACATGTTTTATTTAGATTATAGTAAACATTACTACCAGTTAGAAAGTTTTTTGAGCAGTCACACACCCATGTTTACCAGGATCTCAGCCCTTTGGATGAGGCCAGAGCTGGCCATGCAGTGGACGAAACACCTGATTGTCATTTCCATCACCGCATTGCACCAGAGTCTTGAACCGGCTCTGGTGCCATGGTGGAGCTGGTACTAACAAGCCGCTACTTGTTGGTCCCAGCCCTTGCATAGCACAGGAGTCTGTTCAAGACTCCAGGGCAGCGTGGGGGCTGGAACCAACAAACAGCTGTTTGTCAGTCTGTGATGGCGCAGGGTCCTAGGGGTGGCCGTGAACTCCCCTAGCGCCCCCTACTATGCCAAGGTGATATTAAAAGCACCCTCACAATCTCACCTGCCATGTCTTTGATGTTAATAATGTTTAAGGGAGACTGCCCTTAGTCCTGTCTGACACAGTGCTCTGATGTATCCCAGTCTTAGTGCTATCTTGGGCGACTCAGTGCACCCCAGCCTTATGGGCTATGCGTGGCTCCGACCACCCCTGTACCACGCCCCAAGCCTCACAGATGTACCGGACGCTGTTCAGTCAATTCAACGCTCCATGCCCCATGGGCGCTCTCTGGCTTGTCCCCTTTTTGGGACTTCCCACAATGGCCCGCTCTAGGGCTGGGGTCAATGCACCCCTGAATGTTGTGCCCTCTCTGGCACCGGGGTTCCCACGCTACCGTGGAGCCCCTATGAGGCCTCCTCCAACCCCTAATAGCTTCACCCAGTCCTCCAGTGTAACAACAACAAGAAAAGCAATAACATAAGCCGATTGGCTATAACGCAAATCTAAACCTGGCTAAAACGTTCTCCAAACCATGCAACATCTCTCACCCATATAACTAGTGGCTTGTACATCCAGGCCTTTCCCTTTTCCCCTTTCAGGGCCGAGCTCTTTTCCTTGGTCAAACAGTGCTCCTTTTGTCTGGCTAGCAGGTGTGCGAGAGAGCAAGCACTTACAGCCTCCTGTCTGGGTCTTGTAGTGGTCAGCCCTGCCCCTTCCGGGCAGCTGACTCACCAGGTGTGGGCCCTTAGCTCCTCCTGGTTGCCCCTAGCAACCAGCACCTGAGCCCGTACTGCTGCTTTTCAGTAGCAGGCACCTTAGTGCCCTGCTACACAGTCCTAGCCCTGGCACCTGCAGATGAGTCACTTCAGGACTGGTGCAATTTGGGGACTGGGACCAACAAACAGTTTCTTGTTAGTCCCAGCTCCCCTACTACACCAGAGTCTTGAACTGGCTCAGTAAGGACCACAAACTGATTATGTTACCTCTGTGGAGCAGTATGACATTAGCACAACATGGGTTATTTAATACGATCTGGAGATAGATACCCTAGAAGTGTCCTAACTGTGCTAAGACAGGATAGCACTTAGCATATTTTTAACTCCTTGAACATGCAGATACTAATGTTTTAAGTGCAATTAATGCATCCTAAGTGTAACTTGTGACAAGGCCCTGAACCTTTCTGTTACACCATAATGTCTTCAGAAGTGCATCCTTTTCCCAACATTTAAAAAGCATATTAGTTGCGAGACAATGCAGAGCTAATGAGTGCGCTTGTCTTTATCAAACCAACCTGGATCCTTGCAGTCTCAGCCCTGACAGAAAGAAGAGCATGACTGGCTACTCTAGGCCTTCTTTAACTGGCGGGGGGAAAGGGGAGCATGATTTAACTGGGGGGGAAAGACACCAGATTTATTTCTTCTAAACTGAACTTTTCTGTTCCTTTATAGACCCTCCCGACTTGCCCTTTATCAGTGAACCCTTGACACTTAGACCAGTCTTTGTCAAAGGATAATTAAATAGACTTTGTTCTTCAGCTGGAAATAATTGCCAGTTCTCTCCAGAAATGAAAATTAATCCTTCTTAGAATAAAATAATTAAAGATCTTTCATAACAGCCCTGGAACTTTTGCCTGTAGCTTCATCTTTTATTCAAGTCCCTGAAGATCTCATTACATATTAACGGGCAATATAAGGGTGTCAGTGTTCTACGGAACTGGAGGGAGAGTTACTTGGATGAACTAACTGCTTCAAGTTAACAGCAACAAGCAGATCTTCCAGCAGCCCTTTTGCTGTCCTAATTTTCACTGCTCTATAAAAAAAGTCACAGCTTTTCTCAGCTCATTTCCCTGCTTTTTCTCTTTGCTTGCTTAGATTGCTTGTGTGGAACAAAAGGCAGCTTCATGAGGAGATCTCACAGCTATTCAAAACATGACTTTCTCCTTACTTTTGTAAAATCCAGATGTTTTTTTCTCTCTGAAAGCTCATCTTTAACATTTCCTTTGTAAACTGCAACAAAATTGTGGGCAAGGCAAGAAGCAGTAACTATGATCATTATCATTTTACATTTCATTGTGGTAGCAGCAGGAGGCAGGCAGGTCAAAGCACACTTGTGCCAAGGGCTTTACATGCAGGTGGCAAATGAGAGTTAATTCCCCAAAGAAGTAACAGTCTAAAGACAAAGCAGAACCAGTGGGTGAGATAAATGAATTGACAGAGTAGAAGCAATTAACCAACAAAAGCACAAGTGCTAGTTTGTCTTCTGGGCTGAACAACTAACCCAGCCTACTGTGGTCAAGACTCTGTGGGCTAAACAAATACTATCTCTAACAAACCTAAATCTGCCAGGGACTGTCCTAAAATAATGGAATCACTCATTTTCCAGGGCACAGGTGTGTTTACTACAGTGTCATCTAGAGCCAGCACAAGGGAATTACCTGGAATGTTACTGTTTGTGCAGAAACCACCACCCCCCCCCCAAAAAAAGAAAAAAAAACAACAAAAAAACCCAAAAAACCAAAACCCAAACAAACAACAAACCAGATGGGTCACTTAATTTCTTCATATTCAAATAGGTTTAGAAATACCTGGGTACATGGCACCTCATGTATTGGGACTTGCCAATATCTTTTTCATGGTTCTCCTGTGGCAGAATCACCAGAACTACAGATCAGCAGGCCAGTTAACTCAGATCTAAAGCTGCTTTGTAAAGGCAACAGAGTATAGGTAGGTTTATATTTTGGAGTAGGGGCCACACAGAGCTCAAAATACAAGCAAGCAAGTGCTGTGGTTTAGGTCATGACAGTGGACCCGATTCTGCTTTTAGTTACATCTGCATAAATGTGAGTACCTTTTGACTCAAAAGGAGTTACTCTATGGATGTGTCTACGTGTTGCCCTACAGCAACATAGCGACATGCTACATTCCCATACAGAGTGCTATGACAACATAGCGATCATGTGGGTCTACTACACATGATCGGCAGCTACATCACCATAGTGGTGTGCTCCTAAAGGAAGACTAAGCATGGCACCATAGCAATGTCACTGTACTGCAATGTGTGGACACGTCCTATATGTGGTAACTCCAATGAAGTCACTAGAGTTACTTGAGAAGTACACAGAGGTAGCTGACTGCAGGAGCTGGTCCAGAGGTGTTCCTTGTGCTTGTCATCATGAAGCATTCATCACTTTTATCCACATAGAGTGGGATTCATTGACCCATCATGGTAATGCAAGCAGTCCCCTCCTTTCTGGCTCAGGGGACCACCCTGCTCTGTGTGTGATGTAGGGCTAGATGATGGCAGGTGGAGAGGAGTGGCTGCTCTCAGTCAGTCTGCTGCAGTTTCACTGGCTAAACTGGCTGGCAGCTGTCTCAGGTTGCCAGAATCTGAACAGTGGTAAAAACCCAGCAGAAGATCCCAGTGTCTGTAAATGTGCTCAGGATGCCAGGCAGACTCTGAGTATACAGATGTTTTTGGCTGCCAGGGACCTGAAGTTATCTTCACAGGACAGAGGAAGGCAGAAAAACAGTGCTAGCTGCCACTACCAGGGGTAGTTCTGGCAGTCATGCCCCTGGGAGGGATGCTGCTTCTATGAAGTATATCACAGGGTGTTCCACAGAGTCTCCTTTGCCAGTGGTTTCATTCCATGCCCACGAGCTGAGTAGTCCTGGGCACGACAGGGAGTTCATGGAACGTCCACAACGATCACCAGGTAACCAGTCACTGTTGCTGCTGGCTCTCCACTGCTGGGCTCTTTTGCTTCCAAGGGAAAATGCCCATGTTCCTCTGTTGGATTCTGCTGTACTCCTGCGCTGGCCCTGATACAAGTCCAAACAGCTGAGTGACTCACTCATTCTTTGCACAGTCCTTAAGCTGTCTGTCTTTTTTCAGATCTTGGCCAGTTCCTTGGTATCCTAGCAACCAGCAGTAACTTTCCAAGCAGAACCCCAAGCAGACTGATGCCATGGTGAGCCAATCACATGCTCATGCCTGTGACTTCCTAATTTTAAGCCTATCAGAGTGTGTTATTATAGATCCCTAAGACGACTATACCTTGGAACTAACTTCATTGTGTTGAGGCCACCTCAGTGCTCACAGCTACTGGTCTCTCAAGGCTGGAGACGAAAAGAAAGATGAGTTTCTCCCTTACATTTTCGGAGCTGGCGAACATTGCGATTGGCACACCTGAGGTGGGCAATGTCAACTTCAATGCCCTGCACATTCTGCTGCACAGCATTCTGGAGCACCTCCAGCTCCAGGACATCAGGAAGGAGATCTTGGAGGAGGAGAAGGATTTCCTCAAACCTTCCTCTGGCTTAACACTGAAAAAGGGGCCCATGCAGCAGGCTGATGTGGAGGGGAAATCCAGCTCACTCTTCCACCAGATGCAGCAGAGGCTGGGGAGGATTGAAAGCCAGCTGATTCACTTGAATGACACCCCTTCCACAGCAGAACTGCTGACCAGGAGCCAATCCTTCAACAAGCCAGCTGAGGACATGTGGCAAATGATGCAGCTGAAGAAGAAGATGGAAATGAATGAAGAAGGAATGACAAAGGTGAGAAACCCTGCTGTAGGAAAACTCCCGCTTCCTTTCCATCTGGTGTGTCAGGGCCAAACCCCTCTGCTGGTGGAGATCATGCTGCCTACAGCCACATGGGGGCTGGCTTCCAAAGGGCCCTGAGAGCACAGGTGGGAGGTAAGCATCAGGCTTAGGACTAGGGGGAACCCTCTAGAAAACTGGCCAGGGCCAGTTCAGGTAAGCAGAAGATAGCATCATATGGTCCAGTTCATGTAGGCAGGATCAAACTCCATTAAAGAGTAATCCTATGGGAAGGTAAGTCTTCCTGAAACAATTTATTGTCTTAGAGCAAGATGATGGGATCCCCAGCATTGGGGACCAGTTATTGATGACCTGGCCTAGGCTCTTGCCATGCCCATTCTTAATGGGCAATAACTCAGTGGAGACCCTGTTCTGCTTCCAATTAACCCCATTTCAGTCATGAACAGGGTCAAGTCCTTGGCAGACCTGGCAGAATGCCTCTTGTAATTCCCCTCCTGGGCACTCTGCAGCACACTGCAATAATACCAGTCATCACTAGGATTCCAGATCCTCCCGATGAGTCACTATGTAGGGTCAACAGCCACAAGGCCTGATGTTCTGTGGTCCTGTGACGGCAGAGAAACTGAATGGAAAAAGTGGCCACATCAGACCGGCTGTTGTGGCCACTTACCCTCACTCCACATGGTTATAAAGGATTACACAAGGTGCAGGGTGGGCAGTGGATGATATGGACTGAAATAGTGTCACCTGACCCAATTGCAAGGATTTATGGCTGTTTTAGACATGAACAATGTGTGCCCCCCGGTGGCTCGGGGGCACAGCAGCGGCAGGAGCATGGTGACGGCAGCAGGAGTGTGGTGGCGGTAAGTGGTATCTCCTGCAGACACCACCGGCGCTGTTGGTGGCGGGATGGGGGTGCCAAGTGCCAAACAGGTGTCAGCAACCAAACACAGATGCCTCCAGCAGCATTGGCAATGGCCAGTGGTCATCTCAGACCACCTGCAGACTCCGCCAGCACTGGTGGCAGTGGGGTGGCAAGCGGCAACTGCCCGCAGGTGCCACCGACAGTGTAGGCATCTTTTTGTAGGGGGGGTACCACTGTGATCAGAGGGTGCACGTGCATCTGTGTGCACCCCCTACACATCGCCCCTGGATTTAATTTCCTTTGAGCTTGGCTTTTTTATGGTAAGAGCAGCAGTACCATCAACAGGTACCACCAGCAGCCACAAATCATAGCAATAAATGTGCTCCCAGGGATAACTAACAGCACTCAGAATGTCCTTAGTCACTCTCATCTGAAGGCCCATCTTCTGCTTCACAGACATTATAAACCTGACTAATAATCATAGCAGTCCATAAGGCAAAAAAGGAAACAGAGAATGTGTGTCCCTCTCAGCTGAAGTGCAGCCACCTCTGAGCTGAAGCACTGTTGCTGTGTATCAACAAACAGCACCACCACGCAACACTTATGGCTGGACATTAAGTGAGAAACCATGAACTGGCAAGGAGAATGATCAGAGGCAAAATGTAATGTGAGAAATTAGTCATCTTGTCTTTTAATGTTATTATTCTAGATCAGGGGTGTCAAACCCTCCTGGGCCATGGGCTGCATTTGGACTTGGAGTCTTCTCCTGGGTCGGTCTGCAGGACCAGCAGCTGCAATGGCACTGGATCCAACAGTGACTGCAGCAGGTCTGGCAGTGGCACTGGGGACCTGGAGTGGTAACAGAACCAAAGGCAGCCACAGGGCAAACAGCGATATCAGCACAGCCTTCACTCATCCCCCTGCTGCCAATGGCCATGTCCATCACAGCCCAGGGGCCCCAACTCTATGGCAGGCCCCATCCCCCTGCCCCTGCCCCAACTTTCAATAGCTCAGTGGGCCAGATGGAACAGAACTTCAGGCTGCATCCAGCCATAGTCTAACACCCCTATTTTAGGCATGTTTGACACCCCTATTCTAGACTGAGCCAGTGCTGGATTAGCAGTGGGTTGAGTTTCACTGCACAACAGATATAACTGATAGATAGTTTTACTGATAGCTATTCAGAAATGACTGTCAAGCCACAGCTGATTAAAAACCCAGCTCCAAGGCCTTTACATTCACTTTTATTAAACCTCTTGCAGGGTCAGTTGGATATAGCAAGGCTGTACAACTGGCAACCTGTGGGTCCCTAGGGGCTACCCTGCAGCTCTTGTGGTCCCAGTGCAGACTTTGCTCCCTCCTCCAGCTTCTGCTTCCTACCTCTACCCCTGAGGGAAGGAGATGGATAGCCCATAGGACAGAAGAAATCCACAATTGGAGGGTTTAAGGGAGATGCAGGGATCCTGCACAGCGCAGGGATGCCAGCATGGTGTGGCAGGGTGGGCCACTTGATCTCTAAGGTCATAATATAGCCCCTAATATGTGCTGGTCTGGCTGCCTTAGCCGCCAGTGCAGCCAACATCCAAAGCATCAACAGAAACTCTTAACTTTGAGGGACTAACAAGGAGCCTGGAGTTGAAGCCTGGACTTAGGTAATAAAATGTCCCATGACTGTCACTGTATGAAAATGGCAGGACCAGCCCCTGATGGCCATGCTGCCCTAGTGGCCATGCTAATCCAGTTCCCACTCCAGCTTCTCAGTGTACGCCCTCGCTCTATTTCCTGCCATGCCTTGATGTATATAATGTAGGAGGCTGCCTCTGAGTTCTGGAGTGCTCCTGAATATTGGATGCTTGGTTCTGTTCATCTCCCTCTGGACCTACAGTCTAATATCACAACAACTATGCATCCCATTAGCTCTTACACTGCCCTTCAGACAAGTCTTGTGGCCCTACTGGCCCTATCTAGGCCATAGGGCAGTAAATTACCTAAGGGACATTAATCATAGCTTCCAGCCACCCCCATAAGCCTCATCCATGCCTCACAGATCTCACTCCTTCATTAGACCCTCTGGTCCTGTATTAATTTCCAGTCTCTCAGCTTCCTTGGCCTCTATGGCGCCTTCAACCTGCTCAGCATCCTTGGCCCTGCCTCTTTCACTGGACCCCTTGACCCTGCTTGCTGTAGGTCTGGGGTCCCTAACCCTCTTTACAGGGTGACCCCTGCACAACTGCCTGACCTTTGTCAGCAGCTCTAGTGAGGTTCCTTTGCCCTGCCTAGAACAAACTGGTCACTGTTCTAAAGTGCATCACCATTTAACTGTATTAACATTTCCTAGTAACATGAGACTCCAAGCATGGTGTGAGCAGGGTATATTGTGTTTGCCCCTATTTGTCATTCCATAACCTCATCAAGGCCCTAGGCACCACTGTGCTGGGCACTGCACAAATTCAGAACAACATAACAGTCCCTACCCCAAAGACATTATAATCCAAAAGTAAGACAATAGATAACAGATGGAGTCGTCCAAGGACCCAATGAGATAGTATTGGTTAGCATGATGAGTGGTGGGCTCAGCATAGTGTCAACTGGCAAAAGCTAACTCAGGCTTCTCCCAGACTTGACCTGACCATGGGTATGTTTCAACACATGGCCTATTTTGTTCCAGCTGTGCCAGCTGCAGTCTTGCTATCATGGACACCAAGAGCAGTGAAGCCACAGAATCACATTGGCAAATAACCTGAATATGCACCCATGGTTCAGAGAAACTAGGAGGGCTTCTTCTCTAGTTTGTAGAATGTGATGACCAGGGATCCTGGTTTTCTCTGTTTAAAACTCTAAAATTCTCTAATTGAAACCCCCAAAATCCACATTTTCCATGATTAAAATGAAAGGTATCAATTGAACACAATATTTTATTCATATATTTACAATTTTAAAGCAATTTGGAAGCCTACAAGTGCCTCAATCATTATAATAAAATAAATTCTAAATAACTATATATTTCGGTGTTTGACTTTGGGTTTTTTATCATGGAAAATCAAAGCTCCCCCTGCTCCCTTTGCTCACCAGATCACAAGTCTAGCTGTTGCTGTCCCCCCTGCTGCTTTGTGATGCTGAGCAGTCCTGATATGCAGGTGCCCCTCACTCCCAAACCACAGGCCCTCCAGCTCTGCCAGAGAGACTAGCACCCTCCCTGCTCTGCCACTGTCAGCCCTACCAACATGACCTGCAGGCAGAGCCAGTCTTAGGAGTGGGCAGTGAGGGCAACCACCAAGGCACCGGAGGGGAAGGGGGGCATCATGGTACCCCAGGGCAGGGCCCTGCCTCAGTTCGGGCAGGGGCAGAGGAGGAAGCAGTGAGCTGGGGGTGCCCCTCATTCCTGACCAGCAGTCTGCTGCCCCCCCAACCCTGGACTACATGACCTCTTGAGGGCGCTTTTAACTCTAATATTCTGTGATTATATGATTAATATTCTGTGACCTGATTTTATGAGCAAAGAAAGGTAGTTGGCCATGTTAGTCTGAAGCCAAGCAGAAGGCAGGGCAAGGTGGCACCTGTTCAGAAACGCATACACTTTCATGGGTAATAGCCTACTTCAGGGGTGCTCAACCCCAGCCTATGGGCCAGATCTGGCACACATCACCAAATCATCCAGTCTGTGGGATTCCCTATGGGGCTGGAAATTTGGCAGTGGGGGTTGTCTGTAAACCAGAACAAGCTTGTCTCCCAAGGCATTATTTTCCAGGAGGGGTTGGAGGTCATTTATGTGTCTAAGGTGTTAAAGCTGGGAGCTGTAGGTGTAAACAGGAGAACTTTTGCTGTCTTTGTCATAAGATTGATATTGTAGCAAGTCAGAGTGGGGTTTGAGTCTGGCTCTGTAGATTTGAATGGCTGTGGTTTTGAGATTGTATTGTAAGTATAGGAATCCCTATTTCAGATCCTAAAGTGTGCATCCCAGTTGGTGGGATCAGAGCAGATAAGGTTATAACAGAGAATTTGGCTGTAGATGATGGATCTTGTGGTATGCTTAGGATGAAAGATAATGGTGCGGAGGTAGCTGTGGTGGTCAGTTGGTTTCCAAAACAATGTGGTGGTGATGTGACCATTGCAAAGTTTCATGATGGTGTCCCAGAAATGAATTTTCTGGGTGGAATATTTCAGAGTCAATTTGATGGAGGGGTGGAAATTTTTCAAGTCTTGGTGAAATTTCTCTAGATATTTCTTCTCATGCGTCAGTGCAGTGAAGATGTCGTTTATGTACCTCAAATGAACAAGAAGGATGACAGGGTAGCCATGGAGAAAGCAGATTTCAAGGTCTGTCATAAATATATTGGCACACTGGGAGCAGGGTGGGGCATATGTATGAACAGCCAGTGCTGTTCATTTGTAGGTATAGGGAATCATCAAATCTGAAATAACTGTGAGAGGAGAGTGTGATGGAAACAGAAGCAGTGTCCTCATCAGGGATAATGTTCCTTATGGCTTGTAATCCATCATCGTAGGGGATGCTAATGTATAGATATGTGACATCCATGGTAGCTAATAGGGTGTTTGCTGTCAGTGGAGCCCAGTTTCTTTAGCAAATCTGTGATGCTCTTCAAATAGCTGACAGCTCCCATGGCATACGAGAATAGGATAGCATCCACATAACTAGAAACTCCCTCCATGATGGTGCCAATGCCAGAAACAATATGCATTCTGGGTTGCCAGGTTTGTGGATTTGGGGTTGTAGGCAAAAGTTGCCTAGCCTGGATTCCAGGGAGGCAGAATCAGAAATCCTCTCCTGTGTTTCCAGAAGTAATGTCCTTAAGAGGCTGATTAATTCCTCCTGGTATTGTGCCATAGGGTCCTTGGTCAGGCATTTCTAAAACCCCTTGTTGGAAAGGGAGACAAAGTTGATGTCATTTATCTGGATTTAAAGAAAGCCTTTGACTTGGCCTCCCATGATGTCCTCATGACCAAGCTGGGGAACTGTGGCCTCAACCATCTCATGGTCCAATGGCTGGGGAACTGGCTTTGGGGTCAGACCCAAAGAGTACTAGTTGATAGGAACAAATCAATGTGGCACAGGGTTACCAGTGGAGTCCCCCAGGGCTCAGTGCTTGGGCTGGTACTCTTCAATATCTTCATTAATGATCTGGATTCGGGCGTCAGATGAGGACTAGCAAAGTTCACGGATGACACTAAACTATGGGGGAAGGTGGTCACACTGGAGGACAGGCTGGGAATACAGGCCAACTTGGACACGCTTGCAAAGTGGGTGGAGCAAAACCTGATGGCACTCAACATACAGAAATGCAGGGTACTCCACCTTGGGAGAAAAAAACAGCATCATACTTATAGGCTCGGCAGTGCTATGCTCACTAGCACCACAGCCAAAAGAGACTTGGGGGTCATGATTGACCACAAGAGGAACATGAGCCACCAACGGCACTCACCACCCCTCCCCATCCCCCGCTGTTAACACCACTGCAGCTGCCTGCAGGAGCTCCCCACTCACCACTGCCACGCTCCTGCCGCTGACACTGCCACTGCCGGCTGCAGGAGCTCTTCATGCCCCCACAGCCTCCGGGAGCATGTGGCATTCATGCCTATAAGTATATAAGGGGGCTGCATCAGGATCTGGGAGATAAGTTGTTTACCAGGGCTCCCCAAGGGATAACTAGGTCTAATGGGCACAAACTTCTAGAAGGCCAATTTAGACTCAGTATAAGGACAAACTTATTTACAGTCTGAGTGTTCAGAGTCTGGAACAGACTCCACCCAGAGGTGGTGCAAGCACTCTGGACTCATTCAAAAGGCGTTTGAATGCTTACCTCGCTGGGACCATTTGATCCCTGCAGACTTTCTGCCTCTGGCAGTGGGACTGGACTCGATGATCTCACAAGGTCCCTTCCAGCTCCTAATGTCTAAAATCCATGAAATTTGCTTCTTGGCTTCCTGTATATATGCTGTTTTGTCCATGACAACAGTGGCACCCCTCCCCCTCCTTATCAGCATTTTGTATGATTATAGCAGCATTGTTTTTCAGTCCAAGTGTGGCTCTCCATTTTGTAGGACTCAGGTAGTAAAGTGCTGTTATTTTTTGGCAATCTCAAAGTGGGCATGGAGGTGGAAACTGTTTATATACAGGTCCAGGGGCTGTGATCCTCAGATGGAGTCCAGGAGGTGCCCTTTCTCTTGTGATATGTAGGGGTCAGGTCCATGGTGGATTGATTATTGTGTAGCTCTGTTATAGAAATACTCCCTTAGCCAGTGTAAAAAAGCTTCAAGGTTCCCATGAAGCTGAAATTACCATATAACAACTGATATTATTGCCCTCCTGTCCCGATCCTCCTACCTCACACTCTGCATCTTTCCTGCAGTGGCTCTGGCTCCAGCTCCAGAAGTGAGGAAAGCAGAGCAGCAGTGGTGGCACATAGGGTTAGAAGCAGTGGTCAGAGGCTCACTGCTGCAAGGGAGATGTCACCTTCTTTTCTTGCTGCCAAAAATTGGTGTTCAGCTGGCTGCCTGACACATGTATCAGCAACAAAAAACGAGGTGAAATCTTCCCTACATCCTTTGCATAAGCAAACTTCTAGCCACACTCCTTCACTGTGCACTGCCACTGGCTAGGGCACAGTATGGATACTTACACCTCTGACTCAAGAGTAAATGTGTCATGTGTCCATTCCTTAGTGTGCATGTGTCCTTCCAGAGTTCTGCAAAGCCTTTCAACTGAAACTTGCTGGACATACTAGGAGTCATGGGAACCATGCTCCGTGGGTCACATACAGTCTCTACACACTTGGCACAGCAGAACTGCTGACTGGCCTGTAGACCCGGACTGGTGCCACATGGACAGGTGGTGCACACAGCAGCCGATCAGGATGCTGGCTGCTCCTGAACAGGGGCAGAGTTCATTAGCTGGCGCTTACTGCAGGTGTGGCTGCTGCAGTATGTGGTCCAGGCTGGGCAGCCTGCTCAGAGTCCCTGACAGCACTGGGCCCAGGCTAGTCTGCCCAATAAGCATCCCTGACAAAATGTCAGGCTTGGCTTCCTGCCAGGTGGACCTCTCTTGGTTTCTCTCCAGTCTCCCTGTTCACTGGGGCAATAGAGCACCTAGGGCGGGGCAACCAGGGAAGCCACCCCCGCCTCTGACTTAGAGCAGTGGAAAAAACTGCTGCTGCCACAGCCACACAGTTGTACCGGGAGTGAAGTCACAGCTCCCCTATGCACCCAGATGCCTCGTTACACCTAATGCATTGTGACCTGGTTCCAGCTCATGTTCTTTTGCCCTGTTCACCTCCTCAGGCTATGAACACTCTGCAAGACCTGCTCACCAACATCTACTCGCTGAAAACCACCGTTGACGCCTTCCAGAATGAGCTGAGACTCTTGAAGGACAAGTTCCACAAAGTATGTAGCCTGCCTGTGCCAGGGGAAAGCTATCCTGGTGAAGGCATCACAGAAGGACAGCTTATTCCCCACCCCCATTGTGCACTTCCTGGGTGACCCAGCAGGTCTCCATATGGTCCCACATGGCACTCAGCTTCCTCAAGCAGAGAAAAATAGAGCGTAGATGGGTGGGAGTGATGTCACAGCAAGGACAAGACAGGTCTTCATGGGCTTCCAAGGGCTCCTGCTGGGCCTCAAAGGATTCTTCCCCCCAACATCAGGGCAACTGAACCTCTCCCTCATCTCCCTACTAACATGATGTATAGGAGGCTGGAGATTCTGGTCCCTCTCAGTCCCTAGGCAGTCAGTTTACACCCCACAGTGCTGCAGTGCATGCTATGTGGAAGGATGGAGTTGAGTCCAAGGGCACGGAGACAAGCACTTTAAACTGTGCAGTTTGGAGTGATGCTTCCCAGCATAGGCTAGGGAGTGGGGCTAGATGGAAGCCACCAGCAGCTCAAGCACTCTGCATGCCAGCAATTCACTCCAATGTCATTTGTTCAACAGGACAGCATGGGTGAAATAGGTGAGCAGCTTGCACTACTGGATCGGCACAGCCAGCTCATCCAGACCATCCTGGACAAATTGGTGAGTGGGGGCATGACCAGGGGGAGAGAAACTGCTAGCAAAAGGGCAAAACCATGTGTGGTAGCAGTCAGGAGGAGTCAGGTAGGGATTGCTTAGCCCAGGCCCTATCGTACAGCATTTCAAGAGCCCTATTTATGCAGTAAGTTCAGCGCCACAGTCAGTAGTAACTGGTCACAATCACTGAGGGTTCTGCGCACAGCCGACACTGAAAACACGTGTCCCAAGGCCTAGGAAAATCCTGATACACACCTGGCCAGATCATCCTGCTGTGTTGGTTCCATTGACTTCAGTGTGGCAAAGCTGATCGACCCCAGCATGGCCATCTGGTGCCTCCTGAGTCATGTGGGACACTTGCCCCCCCACCAGTGGCCAGTCATCAACTGCAGGGGCAGTCCTCTGTGTCTGATCACACTGACCTGGGGGTGGGGGGGTATCCCCCCAGCCAATTCCACCGACCCACAAGTGGCAGTGGCGTGCCACTGACATTTCCAGGCACTCCACTGACACTTCTGGGAGAGTCCCCACTCCCTGGCTGGTACTCTCAGGGGGGGCACCAGTGCTTTCACCTGCTCTCCCTGCCCGGGAATGCTAGCTGACAGGGGGTGCACCAGCACTCTCAGGGGGTGCATGTGCACCCCTGTGCACCCCCTACATGTTGCCACTGCACCCCAGCTGAGGATCTCTGCTGACAGGTTAATTCAAAGAAAAGCCACCTCCCCTGCAGAGTAAGTAACAAGAAGAGGAGCTGTGGTTGTAAGTGATGCTATCTGGAAAACAAGAGTTCAACCTGCTTTACAAAGGCAAGAGACATGTCTGGTCAGTTAGGCACAGTCAATTCAGATACCTTCACACCCAGATGTGGGGATGTCTTCCTCTCTGCACATGAGCAGCCATATTACCTGTGCACTTGCTGGCCTAGAATCATAGGAAGTTAGGGTTGGAAAGGATTTCTGGAGGTCATCTAGTCCAACTCCTTGCTCAAATTAGGACCATCTTGAACTGGATCGTCTCAGCCAAAGCTTTGCTTAGCTGGGCCTTGAAAACCTCTAAGGATGGAGCTTCCATCATCTCTCTGGGTAACCTGTTCCAGTGTTTTATTACCCACCTAGTGAGAAAATTCTTCCTAATATTTCACTTAAACTTCCCTCGCTGCAACATGAGACTATTGTTCCTTGTTCTGTCATTAGCCACCAGTAAAAATAGTCTAGATCCATCCTCTTTCAAGCCCCGCTTCAGGTAGTTGAAGGCTGTTATTAAGTCCCCTCTCAGTCTCCTCTTCTCTAGACTAAATAAGACCAGTTCCCTCAAGCTTTCCTCATAAGTCATGTCCCCCAGCCCCCTCACCATTTTTGTAGCCCTCCACTGGACCCTCTCCAATGTATCCACATCCTTTCTGTAGTGGGGGGCCCAAAATTGAACACACTACTCCAGATGTGGCCTCACCAGTGCTGAATAGAGGAGAATAATAACTTTCCCTGACTTACTGGCAACACACCTACCAATGTAGCCCAATATCCCATTAGCCTTCTTGGTAACAAGGGTACACTGCTAACTCATATTCAGCTTATTGTCCACTGTGACCCCAGGTCCTTTTCTGCAGAGCTGCTGCCCAGCCAGTTACCCCCCAGCCTGTACTGGTGCATGGGATTATTCCATCTTAAGTGCAGGAGTTAGTGCTTGTCCTTGCTGAACCTCATGAAATTCCTTTTGGCTCAATCCTCCAATTTGTCTAGGTTACTGAATCCTAGCCCTACCCTCCAACCTATCTACTCCCCCCCCCAGCTTGGTGTCATCTGCAGACTTGCTGAGGGTGTACTCTATGTCATCTTCCAGGTCGTTGATGAAGACATTGAACAAACTGGCCGGCAAACAAGCCAAGCAGCTGGTAGCTGAAGAATACATAACAGACACAGCACTCGCCTCCCACACTTCACCCCAGGGGACTCCTTAGGAAGCTAGATCCCAGACCTAGACAGGGAGCAGGATTCCTACTGGGATCAAGACTGTTTCTCTCTGGGTAGCTCCTCCATAGGAGTCCTGTTTTGGTGGGTGGGGGGGGAAGAGGGCAGGATGGGAGCATTAAAAATGTCTCTGGTCAGTTCCAAGCCCACTGAGCTATGGGACCTCCAGGAGTCTGGTAGCAGCCTTGCTCCAGTACAGACTGGGCATCCTGAGTGGGCACTGAGGACAACAGTGGGCACAGCAGGCTGCCAGCCTTACCTTTAGCATGTTTTTTTAAAATAATATGTATAGCACTGTGCTTAAAGTCCCAGTGATAAGTGAACTGTGGAGGGCACAGCTGGCATATTGCCTGGAAATCTGTGCCCAGAGGTTGGACTTAAGATACAAGTACAGGGGGCATTGCAGTATAGATGCTGCACCTCAGCCTGCACTAGGATGTCAAGTCCTCTGTATGTTGCCCTGAGACAATCATCCCCACAGACACACACACACACACACACACACACCACGAAAGAGTCTCTGCAGTTCCCAGCCCTCACTGCTCTCTCTTGCATGCCACCCTTCCAGTCTTGGCCCTGAGTAAGGACAAGCATTCTGGCCTTTCCCCACTGCCAAGTACCTAAATTACTAATTCTTAACCAGGGTGCCATATCACCCTGGGGTCCATTGAGATCCTTTCAGGGGTGCCAAAAAATGTTATTATTGTTAAGGGTACAAACATGATTCACAAGATAAACACAGAGATTTCAAATAAAAATCCAGGTTTAAAAACATTCTGACCTGTTGTGGTCTTTCTTCATTCTTTGCTACAGAAGACTTTCTCTATTATTTTTCTGAAGTCAAAAAACAAGTGAAAACTTTGGCATTTTCTGAGGGCTGTCTTGAATCTTGGGTGTATCTACACAAGACACTATGTCTCTATAGTGATGAGTTATGGCAATGTAGCTCATTGCTATGACAACATAGCATTGGCGAGTATGAACCGTGACTCTGATGTTACTGCTCAGTACCATCAGAAAAAAAACATTAGGTGTTGGGACCGTGCAGTAGCAGTGGTTATTGCACAATCATTTAGTACTTGCTTAAGCAAGTATTTAATGACTGTGCAGTAACAACTGCTCAGTCTGACACACATGTAGATGCACCTCTTGAGTCCAAAAAGGTTGAGAATTACTGGTTTAAATGCTCTACTGTCATGTAGTTTGCAAAACCTTGGGCTAGCTCTGCCTTCAAAGCTCTTGAACCTGAAAATGAGGATGACAATCTCCCAGAAGCACGTCCTGCCTCAGATGTAGGGCACAAAACAAGATAACCCCTTGAAGTCCCTTCCTCCCTATACTGTGGTGGTAGCTCAGGTTGGCTGCAGCCTGGGGTGGTTGATCCCTGGTAGACAGGTGTTACTGCAGACTTGCAGCACTGGTTTGGGTCTGACTTGGCAAGGTTTGGGGTAGTTCTTTGTTCTCTGTCCTAGATTACAACTCTCCCACTCCAGTGTAAGTGCAGTGCTCCTTTCCAAAAAGAAGATGAAGTCCTCCTCTGATGTAGAGCTGCTTTTTTCTTCTTCTGTTTGCAGGGTGACTTGCAGGAAGAGCTGAGCTCTTTCCCCAAGCAGGCAGACCTGGTACAATGGAGCTGTCTCTTCAGGTCTCTTGCTGACAAGGTTGGCACAAGTTCTTACACATATGGGGGACCTTTGCTAGAACAGAAAAAAGGAAGTACTGGGCAGAGGCATCTCAGGAGCAATAAGAATGTGTCCCATTGTGTGTCTACTATGACTCTTTGAAGGGGGAATCCAGCTTTGCTGTGGGAGCCCACAGGATGCGGTAAGGGCTTTTATTCTGACTCTCACAATGACACAGATCATGTGGGGCTCTGATTCTGGACATCAGGGGGGTTGTGCTTTTCTCTGAGGGAGAGAAGGCTATCATAGAGCTGATATCTTAGAAAAAGTCAATCTCAACAGAAAGCTTAGGCTCCTGATTAGATGTAGAGAAAACTGGGATTCTGTATCTGTGACCCAGCTGCCCTTGCCCATCCGTTTCTCACCCGCTTGGCTGAGCTCTCTGCAGGGGTAGCTGCTATAAAGCCTCTGGGGTGTTCTGTTTCAGAGCCTCTCTGAACAAGGGCACAACCTGGAGTCCAAACAGGAAATGGCCAGGGAGGCTCTAAGCAAGCTGAGCCAGCTTCCAGAGCAGCACAAGGCCTTGGAGACTCGTGTCAGCAAGCTGGAGAGCCAACTCCAAGAGCAAGCGGATCATATAGGTGAGGCCCTGCTGCCCCTCCTGTCTCCCATCCCCAGCCTGACCTCCAGGGGTCCCTGTGTGTATTGGGAACAAGGGAAGAGCCTTGGCTCTGAGGCTACAGTAACTGTGGGAGAAGTCCTTAAAACTCTCAGTGCAGATGAAGCTCTGGCGTCTCTCATTTGTTTTTAGCCAACATGGGGATCTCAGCTGACTTAGCTGCTGAACTGAAAAGAATGCAAGATGAATTAAGCAGCCTTCAGAATGAAGAAGAGAAGGTGATTTGTTTCTGGGCTGAAAGTATTGGTTGTGAGATGGTGTTTTAGTACAATACATGACTTATTTCTGCCACAGTCTCTAGCGATGGCTGCATTGGGAGAGTGGGAAGGCTTTGGATGCACCTTGTCACAGATGTGGTCAAATTCCCGAGATGGACACTTGTCATATTGGCCCCAGTCCTCCAGATTCATGTACTCTAAGCTTCCCTGGCCCTCAGTAGGCCTTTTTTGGCCTCTCTTGCAGGTTTCCTGGGCAAAAGCTCTTTGTATTTTACCCATAAAGCAGAAATGGAGCCTTGCAGCCTATCTGTCTTAGGTGCCCTAGATCATCACTGACCCTCAAGATCCCCCAGTAACTTAAACTTGCCCTTTCCCAACCACGTGGGTACTCTGGGGTAGAAAGCGGCTGGGATGTGACATGTGACACACACAGACTTTGCACAGAATTCTAAAGCAACATTGTTCTTTACTTAAGCACCAGTGAGTTCTCATATTTAGAAAACAACAAACATCCTGGACTCAGTGCCACACAATCTCCCCCATCTTGATGTGAGGAGTTCTTTAGGGTCCTCACTGTTCAAGTAAGTAGGGATTCTCTCTGCTTCATCAGTCTCCTGCAGCACCTTTCTTCATAGCTGGCTGATAAAAAAATGATTCACAGCAGCCCCAGCCATTTTATAATCTTCCAATACCCATCACATGACCTTCAGTCCCAACAAGTAACCACAGACCTGCTACTAAGTGACCTCACGTACTAGGCAACCCTAATAAATTGATTCTCCTAGGCTTTAACCAACTTCCTCAGCATACCTAATGCTTATTGAAGCACAGTCTGTGAAGTGAAATATTTTCCTTTGCCCTTAGTCTAGAGTAGATACATGCTAGGCATGTTGCTTGGATGGAACTTCATTTTGTTTTGCTCATCTAAGTAGCAGGCTTTTAGTTACATAGCATTTATATTCAGGTAAGCATTTTATTCCTGGACAAACAGATAATTATTTGCATGCACAGACAGGGAAGGCTATACATTGGCCATGTACACACACCTCTTATGGGCACATAGTGATATCTAAGGCCTAAGATCATAGTTGTCTCATGAATACCCAATATTAGATGGAGGAGGGGAGTCATTCCATCTAATATTGGGTAGCGCAGGAAAAGAATGGCTAGCTGTGTATAAGTGCCACAAATACCATTGTAGATGGCTACAAAATTGCTACTTTGACAACCAAAAAAAAAGAGAATACCAGTCCTTGTCAGCACAAGTGACATTGCCAGAGAAGTATTCTAAAATGAAGCAATTGTTGAATTAACAGCTTTATAATATTAACCAGAAGTTACAAGCTGCATGTAGGCAGGTTCCCTAAAGCCTCACATACCCACCTCTTTGAAATCTAACGCACTGGTTATCAAGGTGGTTACCTCCAGCAAGGTCTCTGTCCAAGTCATGCTTCACATTTCAGGGTTGAACCATAGGAAGATGTCCCTGTCTGGGGAATCCTTGCTGTTAGGAAGGTCTAAGGGCAGGATATTGGAATGGAAACTGTTTGGCAGCTCTAAAGGGCACAAGAAAGTGGTAGCTATGCTGGGTGTCTAAGATGCTGATGGTATCATGCCTTGCTTTCCCCAGAGGCTGGACTTCCGAAAGAACACACTCACCCAGATGCAGAAGCTGAAGGAGCAATGTGAGAAGCTACAGAAAGTCACTGAGAGGCTCCTGAGCAACACAGGAGACATCCAGGTAATCCTTCAGACATACATACACTTGGGTTCTGGAAGCCAGCAGAGTGTAGGCAGGGCAGATAGAAACATCTCAGAATTACGAAGACCTGTTTGCAGGTCCAAGTACAGCATGCAAAGCCTTGGGATCTCCAAGTGCCCAGCTGAGAGCTTTGCTGTGTTTGGCAGGGGTGGGGGGAGGGTGCTGTAGCCCAGGAGCATCCAGCATGTGGTAGACCACACCACCTGCTTGGCTGTTTTGCTTGAGGCAAGATAATGAGCTGCAGCCCACTGGGGAAGCTTGCATCTCCTTGGTCACTACGAAGGACTGCAGTGATTGAGAAAACAAGGAGAGACTTCCTGTGCTCTTCTCACCTAAGTTAACCTCAACATTCTGTGAACATGTCAGAAAGATTCTGGATCCCTGAGGTTCTCCCTTCTTAGACTGCCTTCTTGCTGATTTGGGACATTACAGATACTTGGGGAGAGGGGCTGTGTTAAACAGCCTGGAAGCAGCTTTTCTTTGGCTTCCTTCACGAATACATGAGGAGCCACATATACTGCCAACACCAGGCAGGAAAGAAGAGCTTCCCAGATTTCCCAGTATGCACTTGATCTAAGCCCACAAGAGGCCAAGAAGCAGTGGCAGAGACAGCATAGTAGGGGAATGTGGTAAAAGACAGCATGGTAGGAGAGGCGGCCCGAACATGACTGGCATGTGGCTGCATTGTGAAAAGGGCTGCAGCATGGACATGGCTCAGACCATGCCTGTTATCACTGGGCCAAAGGAAAATGTCACAGATGTGTGCATGTAGTGCAGGCATAGCCTAGGGGCCCAGGAAAATGGAAGCATTCCATAGCCAGTCAATGTTGCTTGTGGTCACAAGCCATAGGAGGGCTTGTGACCCTTTCCCACTCTACCCCCTCTGGGTGTGTTGACACCAAAGTTTTGGGTGCACTGTCCCAGCCTAGGATAGGCACAGATGGGCAGCTTCAGACTACAGGACAGAAAGAGAATGGTTTAAGGTCTGAAACACCTGCCTTACAGTGAGAGGCACAAGAAGCTCAACATCTGTAGTTTCTCCAAAAGAATGTCAGCCATGCTCTTATCAGGATGCTCAAGAGGGAAATAGAAGTGAGCTCTTTATTCTAGTGGATGAAGGCAGTATGACATGCAATTGCTAGATGGTGAGGGGAGACACATTTGGACTGAAGAGATGATGTTGAGGCTTTGCATCAAGGGGGATTGGTGATACTCCTGAGGCCCATGGTGGGTTCCCCAGAACATGCAGCTATTAAATTGAGACTGGACCTATTTTTCCAAATGATCTGGTCTCACTTAGTCCCCAAGGGTGCAGTGCAGGGACCATGAGATGAGGCCCTTTGGCTTGGGTCAGGCAGGTGATGAACTAGAGAACCGCATCTGTCCTTACTCGCCTGACAAGTGCTGAGTCTCTACACTCTTTGCCTGAAGAGTGTGTGTTGCCTGCTTGCAGAACCTGCAAGAGATGGTGGAGCAGCTGGACCTGAATAAAGCAGACAAAACCCTGCTTGAACAAGAGATGAATGTGGTGAGTTGAGGCAACCAGTGGCACCAGCTTCAGGGACAAAAGGCCTATCCCCACCTTCCCAGAAATGTTGTGCCTTGCAGTGCTGAGTCCAGTTCTTAATGCTCTGAGGACAGCACTGGCACAGAATATAGTTATCCTGATGGACTGGCTGGGAGCACCAGCCTCCTGCATGGGAGTCTGCATCTTAGGACACTGTCCCATTGCATGAAGACAGACCCTGGATCTCAGGAGAAATAGCATCTAGAGTAAATCCTGGTAGCTTTAAGCCTGGCACCCAGACTTCTCTGATTGTAGTGTATGGAGATGCCTGCATGTTCTGTAAGAATCCAGTTGGCTCCCATCACTGCCTTCCTTAGGTGCTTGCAGGGCAAGGGGAGCACTGCTGGGCCTGATGTCAGGAAGGAGCAGTGTGTTCTGTATGTGAGGGGCCCTTCTCCATAATTCTCTTTTTCTCCTGTTAAAAACAATTGAAGGCCCCTTGGCTGCAACTGGACGCTGGCCAATTGATACAGTGTGTGTGTGTGTGTGTGTGTGTGTGTGTGTGTGTTGGAATGCGGGTGGCAGCAAATGCTGTTTCTCTTGCAGTTGTGCTTAGTGGCCTCAGTCAGTCACCAGGGCCCACAATGGTGGGCACTAGGGTGCCCAAGTACCTAGCTCCACTGGGAGCTGGTTACCTGCCCTTTGGAATTGGAGGCCCAAGGACTTTGAGTGCCAGAGCCTAAATCCTTTCTGTTTCTTGCACAAGCCCTGATGGAGTGCTAGAACTCTGCCCTTCTCTCTCACCTTCCAGATCCTGTGTGCAACCCAGGGAAGAGCCTGGTTTTTCCACTACAGCCCACCTCTCTGAACAGTTCCATCCCCCCTCATGGTGGATGGGAGTTCTCAGCAGTGTGCTGGGGCCATAGTCCCTTGCAGAACTGGGTCCTTTATTTCTCCCAGTGTGGGAGGGGGGATCCTGTTGCTGTCACCCAGTCCAGGCTGCCCAGGTCTCAAGTCCTGCCTTCTCCCACTGTTCTTAGGCCCCAACAACTGAGCAACTCCAACTGGCATTAAATTGCACCAGATTTCCCAAGAAGCTGGTCCTTCTCCCCCTTCCTGCCCAACACTGTTACAGCATGGGTAACCACACACAGTTTGCCTGTGCTGCCCTGAGCCAGTTGCATGCTTGCAGCCTGCTCCTAGCTCTGGAGCACCTGCTCTATTCACAGCCCTCCACCCCTGTGGGGAGGAGCCCTGGAGATCCCTTCTGGAGGATGCAGCCGTGAGATAGGGGCAGTGGGACTCCAACCCTGTGCAGACCTGAGCCCTGGACCTACCAGCCTCTGAGCTGGGGAGGAGCCGTCTGAGTATGTGAATCTCTGTTAGAAAGCAGACAAGAGTGAGCTGGAGACCAAGGTGGACCATGACGAACTGCAAAGTGCGACCACTCAGCTGAATGAGGTGATGCAGGACCTGCTGCATAAGATGTCCCTGCAGGACAAGGAGTGGCAGAAGGTTCTGGAGAATCTGTTCATCAACATGGACTCCAAGGTAGCAGGTTTCGCCAGGGCAGGGGGAGAACAGCCGTAGGGGCGGGAGGCAGTGGGCTGGGTATCACCTCACCCTAATGCAAAGTAAGCGGCCTGAGATTCCAGGAGCTGCAAAATACCCTTAGCTTTGTCTTTGTTTCACACCTCCTCTAGCTCTGCTGGACTAACCTGGTGTCCAATTAGTGTGAGACCAGGATCATGTTCCCTTTCATCTCCTCACCCTCTGCAGTTAGTGACAGATATTATGAGCACCCTGCCTTGGAGCCTGAGCAGCCTCCCTTGCAGAGGCCCTTGGGACTGAGGGACTGCACAGACCAGGCTCTGCTTACTTACATGATGAAAATGCAGCTCTGTTCCCACTGCATGGGAGTACAATGGGAGCTCATATCCATCCTCAGGGATAACAGTATCTGTGCTGTCCCAGTCCAGGCAGGCAGTGAATAAGCACCCTTTGCTTGAAACCCATATGGATATAGCACAGGGGATCCCTTCAAAGGGAGAGTGAAGGACATGGAGCCAAGACTGCTCTCTGCTCATTGCTATGTTCAGTAGTGAGCTTACTGTCATGCCAGTAGCAGGAAGGGAAAGGTGGGCACTGACTTTCTCCTTTTTCTCCCTTCTGGTCAGGAAAAGATATTTACCTTAACCCTGGGGCTGACATCCTTTGGCTTCTCTCCACTTCTGCAGCACTTCAAGGGGCAGTCTCAGTGCTGGGAGCAAGATGGCCAAAGCAGCCCTGTTTGAACTGGGAGATCAGAGCACCAGGGGCTTCCGTACCTCCAGGGTTGTATCATGGAGGAAGGTTGGGGAGCCCAGCTGGCCTGCTTCCCTCAGGAAGAGCTCTATAGCATGTGCATGTGAAGGGAAGACTCCCTGCCCATTACCTATAGTGAGGGAGGAGCCTTCTCCCCATATCTCCGCTTTAGTATTTGGGTTGGAAGTCACTGCTTGTTGTCTGGGCTTGCCCTCCATCCCTCTCTGCTGTGGGGCAGCTCCATCACATTCTACCTTTGAACATATAGCTGGGAGCTGAACTTATTCCTGGGCCAGGGATGGGGCTTCCCCAGAGTGTGCATATCATATGGACACTTGTTTTTGACTCACACCCATGCTAGGTGATTGCTGATACCAGTTGTCTCTGGTGACCAGGGAAAAGGGGGCACCTGCAGCAGCAATGGTCAAGATAGAGAGATAACAAGCCACCTATGCTCTGTGCCCTTTATGACAGCTACAGCTGGGCTGGCAGCAATGGTTGCTGTCATTCTTGGGCCTGCTCAAATGGGCATCTGGGGCTGGTATCCTTGCCATAATTGGTTACACTACTGAGCCAAGGAGAAGGTGACAGCTCTTGGGAAGTTAAAGGGTGTGCAGGGGCCAGTAGGGCAGGAAGCAGGGATGTGTCTGCAACAGGGAGAATCTGGCTAAGCAATCAGGAGATTCAGTTCTGGTATAAGAGCAGCCCAGGCCACCAGCAAAGAGGTAGGTTGTGTAGCTAACTTCTCTGCACATCTAGGGCTTGCATCAGGCTTTGTGGAGTGGAGTCACTCCTCCCATGTGAGGGAACTACTGGGGGAGGAGAAGCTTTGCAAGCCCTAGCAGAGTGAGCTGCAGCAGAATGATGCAGACACCTACCGCAAGCAGGTCCCTTCGGAGTCACCTGCTTCTCCTGGTTCTCTGCAGCTGGACCGTGTGGCACTGGACCCCCTGCAAAAGCAACTGGAGGAAGTGTGGAAGTTCATTAAGAAGTATCTGAGCGAGGGCCCACACTTTGATGCTGACAGCGCTGCTGGCTTTAAAAAGTGAGTGGGTGACGGCAGCCTCCTGTGGCAAGGAACGGAGTCTGCCCCCTCATTGTACTATGCCCGTGCCTCGGGGAAGTCATGCTGCCCCAATGCACATGGGAGCATAGAGGCTGCACTCAGGTAGCTAAGAAGAAGCCAAGTACAGCTGTTTTCCTCATCATCCTCATGGAGATTCACTCACACTATCAATTCCAGCAAGTAACGTTCTATCTGGTTAAGCTTGTAACATCACCAAGAAACACTGACTGCTTGGCACTACCTGTAGTCTTTTTTACCTTGCTGCCTTCAAATACAGTGGGGCATCGGCAGGGCTTCAATTACCCTTTCCATAAACAGGGCTATCTGTCCTAACAGGCACATCTGTGTGATGGTGGAGACACCTGTCCTTCCCATACAAAGCTAGTGGCAAGTCTCTGTCCCTAGTGCTGAAAGATCTTGCTTTCTCTTGGCCTTCTTTGAAGCTCAGGATTTAGCCTGGTACCTTGTGAGATTCTCTGTGAAGCTGTATCAACTGCTACGCAGCACAACCTTCCACTTCTGGACAAAGAGCTCTTGTCCAGGAGCTCCTCGTGTTAAAAGCCAAGGGCTGATTAAACTAGACTCTTTGACTCCTATGACAAAATGTTCCACATCACCTTGAGTGTTGGGAAAGGTTGCCCCAGTGGGGTTTATACCTTCTTTTTTCCCTCTTAGTAAAGCCATAAGGCAAGAGTGACTGTCCAGAGGTCCTGGGGCTGATCTACAGAGCTAGGCTGTAGGGAATTGGTGTGATCCCAACAGAAGGGTCCTGGCCTTGGTGTCAGGAGATCTGGATTCTGTCCTAACTCCATAATGGGTACTGCTACACCTGGGTGAGCTGTGCAGAGGCTGTCCTTCTGTGGGCATCCAGGATAGTGAAGGCTCTAAGTAATAGTGTCATGCTAAGAAATACACTTTTAAGCTGCAGTTGATGCCACTGGCATATCTTTGAGCTCTGATCTTATATCTGAATAACACATATCATGGGATCTGTTCCAGGAAACTCTTTGAACGGGTGAAGTGCATTTCCTGTGACAGACCAGTGATGATGACAACTGGGCCGTGAGTACAGAGCAGTATTCCTAACTTTTTTAGATCCAAGAGACCCTCCATAACGTTTGTGCACTGAGCGGCACCCCATTGCTAAAATCAATTGATTTATTATAGAGTGTTTGGGCGGGGGAGCAACCAGACAGGGATAAGTCAGGCTTGTGCTCATCTCACACCTTGCTTATCTCTCACACCTTTCAAAGGAACTTACTGCACCCCCATGGTATGTGGTTGAGAGTTACTGATATTGAGCAAAACCCTGTTTTTCAATAGTTCTGGCTGAATTACACTAATTTGTCACTAGAGGGCACTATTTGACCTTTTGTTTTACACTGTTGCCCTCATACAGGCACCTGGTAACAGTCCGAAAGGCAAGGTTGTACTCCCGGACGCGCCCAGCCAGTGCCAACGGTTATGAGTACCTAGCACAGAAACAGCAAATGAGGTGAGCTACTGCCCAGGAAGCCACAGGGCCCTGAGCCATGATGAAACCAGAGAGGACTCTTTTTTCTTGCACCTGGGCCTGATGTATGGTGTGTGAGACATGCCATGTACTTGGCTGTAGGAGGGATTGAACACCAGATTCTCCCTGGCCTCCTATGTACTGTCCTGCCCTCTGGTCAGTCTGGCTAGGGACAGACATTACACATAAACCAGTTTAAGTGATGAGAAACTGGTTTAAACCGGTAACAAAACAGATGTTCAGTGGACATAAACCAGTTTGAAAATGGCTGAAACCAGTTTGAGATTTGGCTCAAACCAGTTTATGCGATGTCTATGTTTATGTTTATGACTCTTTGCTGGTTTAAGATAAATCAGAGCCCCCCAGCATGCTCTCTGGCTGGGCAGGGCAGGGCTCTCTGCTCCACAGCAGGGCTGGCCCTCTGCTGCCTTGCTGGAGCTCAGCAGTCTCTTCAGGCATCTGCCTGGGTTCTGCTTCCTCCCCCACCAATGTGCTAAGTAGGCAATTCCCCCCTCCCTCACAGACACCTCAACATTAGCTAGCAGACCACGTGCTGGCTACAGTCTGTGCTGTGAGAGACAACGGAGGCAGACAGGCTTTTTGGAGCTATTCATCAGGTAGCTTAATGTCCTTCTTTGGAAAAGCTTTTTGCTCCCCCTGTCCCTGCTAAGCAGGAATTCCCCTTTCCCCTCTGCCTTGTGAGAAGGTATCTGTGTATTAGCTAGCCAACCACATTCTGGGTCCCTGCTGAATCAACAAGCAGAATCAACAGGTAGCTGGTAATGTCCCCATGTTTTCTTAGCGGGGCGATAAACACTGAGATAGGAGTGACACTCTTATCAGCCCCACACCCCTGGCTTGCTTGCCTGTCAGTTTGCTGCAGGCAGTATACAGAAGCAGGGAGAGAAATTGAAAAGCAGCAGATGCACGCACTGCACACCTCCCGACCTTCGCCTCAGTGCTAGCTGGGGGTTGGTAACACTCCCACCCCTTGACCAGCCAGCTGGGAAAAGCCTGGGACTGCAGGTAGGCTGGGGGTTTACACCAATCCCTAATCAGAGCCTCCTGCTGGGACCTGGCCACACCCTCCTCAACTCAGCTCTGCAAGGGAAGGGAGGCTGCTCTAGCACCCCCTGGCTTCCAGCCTGAGCCACTGCAGGCATGTGCCAGAATTTCCTCAGTCCAGAGGGATTGTCTCTATGGTTGGAAACCAGTTCAGCTTAGCCAGGTTAAACTAACCTGCAAAGGTTGAATCAGTTCAGGCTCAGGCTTTTTGAATGTCTGTCCCTAGCCTATAAAAGAAGCCCCATGTCCAGGGAGAATGAAGCAGCCTGTTTCTTTCCCTGGAGATCTGCTAGTGCTAACATTCCCCCTCCACCATCTCGCCAGTGCCAGGTGTGAGACACTGGTGTGGCTGAGCTCCTGGCTCAGCAGCATGTGCCTAATAAGGGAGGGGCCTGTGCTCTAGTTCTGCAAGTGATTCAAGTAGGAATGGAGCCTGGTTCCTAACCCCTGAATTTGAGCATCTCCAGGGGAGGTCATTTTCCTTCAAGATTCCTATAGCAAGCTTTACTCCAAGGTAGCAGGTTTCAGGGCATTCATCTCATCAGGACAGAAGCTCATCACCCCTTGAGAGCTGGCCCTGTCTTCTGCTGGGGGTGATGCCCATCACTATGCAGCCAGGGGAAGCAATCACTAGTGCATAGCACCAGGTTCAGGCGGAGGATCGTCTGGTTTCTGGGACATCATTTGCTTCTCTAGTATCCCTGAGCTCACTGAAGGGAACTCCATGTGCCTGTTCCCGGGAGTGGATGAAGAGGGGGTGCTTTGGTGTAGTTGCACCTCCCTTTAATTCCTCCTCCACTGTTGCTGTCTGGGGCCCAATCCTGACGGAGCTGGGTTGCCCAGCCCCTCTTCCCCAGCCAGGCAGGCAAGCCAGAAACACCTGCAGAATCAGTTGAGGGTCAACTGGGAGCCCAGTTCCTGCCAGGCGGCCCAGCTCCTCTTCTCAAGCTGGGCAGGCAGCCAGCTGCACCTGCCATATCCTGTCAGCCTAGAAGCCAAGGACTTGATCCCAACTCCACGCCGTTTCTAAACTCCCAGATTAACCATTGCCAGGTCTCCAGATCCATGCAGATGGATCTGCCCAGCTCCTGACACTCCTAGAGGATATGATGGCTGATTTTTGGCCAGATAAGGGTGTGATTCCTGTGGTTAACAGTGCAATAAGGGGGGTAATGGGTCCACTCTGTCCTTCTCCAGGGAACAAGCTCTGGAGAAGAAGGACAGGAGTGAAACAACCAGCCACGAGCAGCAGTCCTCGCAGCACTGCTGGCAGTGCCAAGCTCATGCCACTTACCCTGCCGAGCGATATTCCAGTCCAAAGACTCTCACTACCATTTACCCCTATGGAGGCCCAACTGTCCTCACCTATGATAATGTGAGCCTACTCATGCTTTTGTTCACCTCCCATGCCAACCCCTAGCCATGCTCTTCTTGTTCGACTAGGGATGGGCAAAATACAGCCCATGGAACAGATCCAGCCCACCAGGCCATTCTATCTGGCCCGTGGGACCCCTAAAAAATTTAGAAAATTAATATGTATCTACCCTAGGCTGCCTGTGAAAGATGACAGGAGCCAGGGGCAGTAGAACCCAGGGGAAGCCATGGCAGGACCCTGAACAACAAGGCCTGCCCCCACCAGCCAGAAGCCCCTACCTAGCAGGGGGTTCTGGCCTGGGACCATGGGGCTGTTCATGTCTTCCTGCATGGGATCAGGAAATTCAGGTAAGAAGGGGTGGGGAGTAGGGAGGCAGGGGAGGACTGGGTGATTGCCCCAGTCCTCGGAGCTGGGCTGGCTCCTGCTGAATCTTGCAGTTGGGCCAGGCAGCCAGGAGCCACATAGTGCAGAGCAGCTGGTGGGCAGGAAAGTGAGAAAAGCAGTGGTGGGGGCAGGGGGAGTGGAAGTGAGTGGGCATGCAGGAGTGTGGGACTTGCGCTGGTGTCCTGGGGACAGCGCCAGCAGGGCCCAGAGCAGGGCGGCAGGAGAATAAGATGTGGCTGGCAGGGCTGTATGGAGCCAGGCTGGGATGCACCAGCAGGGAGAGGGGGAAGCTGTCCCAGCTCCATAGAGCCTTAGCCAGCTGGGACCCCACGCTCCTGCTGCCTCACTCTGGGCCCTGCCAGTACTTGCTCATGGACACGGGTGTGGGCCCTGCGCTCCCGCCCGGCTGTCACTGGCTCCCATGCACCGGCTCACTCCCAGTCCTCCCTGTCCCAGCCCCGCGGTACAGGCGGGGAACAGTGTGTACAGCCCCAAATCTGCATGCCCCGCGTTCGCCCATCTGGGTTCAGCAGCAGCGGCACAAAACAAACTGCTATTCAGCGTGGGGAAAAAGTGCACCCCCCCACACCCCCTCCCCGTGGCCAGTGCTTCCTGGTGCAACTGCCCAGAGCCTATGTGGGGCTGCCTGTGTCTCCACTGCGTCACCACCACCTCTGGGCTGCTCCATGGGGCAGTGGTGGCAGCACAGAGCAAGCACAGGTAGCCCCGCATGGGCTCTGAGCGGCTGAACCAGGGAGTGCCAGCAGCAGGAGGGGGAGAGAGATAGACCGCTTTTCTCCTGAGTTGAGAAGCAATTTGTCCCACACTGCCACTCCTCAGCCTGGGCCCTACACCCAGTTGGGGCTGAGTGGCAGTGGTAGCGACAGCAGCAGCTGGGCAAAAACTGCTGGTCGGTGTGGGGGGAAGCAGCCCCTCCCCCTTGCTGCCACTGGGCAGCTTTTGCTGTGGCCACTGGGAGCCTGTGCTGTGCAAGGCTACGATGCGGCTCCTTTGCTGCCGCTTGTGAGCTGCCCTATGGTTGCTCCACATGGCCACTGCTGCCGTGCTGGGCAGCACAGAGGCAGCGATGAAGGAGATGCACTGCAGCCTAGCATGGCGTGGACTCCAGGCAGACACAGCTAAAACTGCCTGGTGGTGGTGAGGGGGGTCACTTTCCTCCAACGGAGGGACTTATGGTGGCAAAGGTCAGGGGTTAGGGGGTGGGACTTATGGTCCCAAGATGGCAACCAGGTGGCAGGGTACCTATCAAGGGATGGGGCTACTCATGCGGCACTTGATGACTTGCCAAAACTCAGTAAGCGGCCCTCCACCCAAAATAATTGCTCACCCTTGCCTTAGACCCTGCTAAGTGTGTGTCACTAGCATGTCAAACCAGGAGCCTCACAGGGACATGGGAACACCAAGAGAACCTTCCTAAGGGGGTTGACCTTGCAAGGTGATAGGAAGGACAGTGGTTGCTGGCAAGTGGGTGAAGGCACATGGCAAAGGGAAGTGGGAGGAATTGGGAGAGAGTAAAAGAAATTAATGTCCAGGAGGGTCTCAAGGCTCTTGGTGTCCTGGACTAGGTCTCCATGCACATCCTATAGTATTCTGTGTTCTCCTCCATAGACTGAAGTTGATATTCTGGGCATCAATGGAGTTCTCTACAAGGGCAGGATGAGCTCACAAGCTGCAAAATGGGGCACCTCTCTAGACAAAGAATTTCCAGGTATGGTATGGAAAACAGCTCATCTGGGCACAGCAAGGGTAAGGTGTGCAGCCCACAGCCCAGCACAGCTCTGGCCTGCTTACCCAGTTTGGAGATGCAGCTTGTGGGGGCTGCACATCTCAGCATATGACATGCTAGCTTTAGACAAGCTGTTTAGCTATTTGGCTCAAAATGGCACATTGCATCTTGAGATTGGTAGACACCATGGACTGCACTACAGATGATAATATTAGCAACACTACTAGTACTCCCTAACACTTACATGGCACCAGCCATTGGTAAAGTGCACAGAACTTTACAAAGGTCATTGTCATTACCTCATTTTATGTGCCTTAGCAGGGTTTCAATGTGGTTCCCTCACTGGCCAGTTTGGGTGTGGCAGAGTGAAAGATGCCAGAGTGAAAGGTGGCTGCCCTAGAGTAAAAGCATTTCCCTGTAGCTTGGCTTCATGAGTATGGGCCTGTCTTAAGGGCCTGTGGGCCTGACTCCTCGCACCACTCAGATCTCCTGCAGGTGTCTCACCCCATTACCCCATCTCTTTCAATTCTTCACATGGAAGGAACAAAGACCCTTTGGCCACCCTCAAGACATGGGATGGAAAGGACATGCTCTGCTACCAGTTATGGCAGCCACTATGTGTCACCCTATGCATGTGAGTCCCTACCACCCTTGTGCTCAGGCTGTCATTCAATGTTAGGGGAATTCTCTGCTCCATAATTGTATAGTGGAATAAATAGCTGTCCTTGGCATGTGCCATGATAGCAGGTGGAGAGCAGGCTACAAAGACAGGCTGGTAAAATGGGGAGCAGTGAATCCGCTATGGTGAGACATCATTCTTGCACAGCATCATCTGGACAACAAGAAGTCAGTGAGCACAAGCAGAGGGAGCAGGGCAAGGGCAAGTGCATGGAAAGGCATGAAGAGCTGTGAATGGGAGTTATTATGGAAAGCTGCAAACCAGGACAGCCCAGGGCTGGTGCAGCAAGGAGGATGGAGCTTGGGAAGTAGGGAGGTTCTAGAAGAAGGCTGAGGCAAATCTAGAAGAGGGCAAGATCTAGAAGAAAGCTGGGACAAATCAAGGAGGGTTTGGAAACTAAGGAGGCTTGCTCTGAGCTTCAGAGAATCACAGATGCTCAGAATGAGAGAGCACTGTTATGCCATCCACATCCCCTGCCAGAGCCCCCTAGGTTGCCTTTGGCCAGTGGCAGCCTAACATTAGTCCTGGCTTTACCCTAATGGGGCTGGAGCTGAAGATGAGTGTTAGTTACAATGACATGCAAGGAACACAGTCTTGTGACTGCTCTGAGCACGTTCAGAGCAAAAAGAAGTGGCAGAATTGCTGTATCTGGTTCATGGGAAACACTGATATTTCACCATTTCCTGAGAAATGAGCATGCTGAGAAATGTTTGTTTAGAATGCTTCTGTCTCAGAAATTTTTCAAAACTATGGGGATTTTAGGTTTGCAGTTTATTTTTTAATATTAATATTTTGTTATGTTTACATTATTTTAGGAAATATTATTAGTAGCACATCATAGAATTAATTGGTTTTATTTTAAAAATCATTAAGTACAGCTGCTTCCCAGTGCTGGTGGAACCAACTTATTAGTTCTAGATCGAAATGGGCGCATCTACATGTTCATTAATATGCCCTAGTTACAGTGCATTAAGTTTAGTACCTGTAATAATGGATGCTAACTCAATGCACAGTAACCAATGCTACTGAACAGTAACAGTGGTGCACGCCTTTTAAGTGATGCTAATGCTCAGTAGACTAATTCTACTGTCCATTAGTGCATTAGCATGGCTTTCGCCGTGATGCACTAACGCGCAGTAGAATTAGTCTACTGTAAATCTTGCGTCTTGTGTAGATGCGCCCAATGTCTTCCATTTGTGTTGTAATGAGATATTTTGACACTGACAACTTACACAAAAGCAGTTGGCACTCCTTGTGCTAATTGGAGGAACAGCTGTTTGTAGTACCCTTGCCTTAGCCTGGAATCATTTTGTAATCTATGAAAAACAGCTACTTCTCTAATTAGTACTAGTGCTTCCCTTCTTGTCTTGTTCAAAGGGCCCAACATCGAACTTCATGATCATAATACAAAATTGAGACACTTGGAGCCAGTGGTGCTTGGTCAGTACCAAAAGTAGCATCTGCCCTTCATTTTTTAAAAATAATTTTTAAATACCCTGAACAATGTAAAACAATGCTGATGATCTTGTTCCAGCCTGTCTGAGTAAGTGCCTTTCCTAGCTCAGCTCCATCAAACCTCTCCTGTGCCCATCAGTGAAATCTGTGCTGTTTTGCCACTGACACAGATTCTGCTTGTGTCAGAGTTACCCCACTGAGAGCGGAGAGCCAGGGCCTCCATGGCTAGCTTGCTGTAGCACTTTCATCACTGTGGGCTTTGAATCATTGTTTCACCTCCAGTCATAGTAAACTGAGAAGCCACAGCACCCTCCCCTGCCCCAGTCCAGCCATGGACTGCTGTGAAGATAGTGTGAAGACAGGTTTCCTTTTCAAGCTACCCTATAAAGCTAATGTGAATGCAAAGCCCCACTCCTGTCTTCTGGTTTGTGGTTGTGACTTCCCCCTGACTACAGGCAGCTGGAATCTGGACTGAGTCAGATGGCTGAATGCTTTTCTTACTTCTGTGTGTTTCAGCATCTGTTGCCCGGACGAGGGCTGGATCTGTAGGCGGTAAACAGCAGCCTTCCCAGGAGACTACCCTGGATGTCCCCGTTCAGAGAGCGACCCCATGGCCTCTGCCAGGAGACAGGGGCATGGCTGGCATGTGAGCCACACAGGGCAGCAGCAGCTCCACCAGCCCCACCCCTTTCCTTTCTACCCATTATTCCTGGGCAGCTTTAAGTGGCAGGAGCTCCAGGGCTGCTCTGCATGACCTCTGCAAGTTGAGCAAGAGGGATTTATGACTGTGTAGAGCCCAGTGCTTGTAGGCATGGAATTGCAGTCACCATCTCCACCATGAGGTGTTGGGTGAAAGGGCAAGGGCATGGGCAGGATGGAGCCATAGGGCTGCCCTGGAGCATGTGTCATTTCATAATAAACTAGGGGGCCCTCTTCCAGTGCCTAAGCCCTGCATTAACACAGAGACCTGGGGGCAGTCAGAGAAGATCCAACTGCCTGTCTTAGCAGAAGCCCCGGGTCTTGAGAGCTCTTGGTGAGTACTGAAGGTGCATGTTAGGGAGGCTTGTGGGTTGCCTGGCTGGTGAACAATGATAATGGCAAGCAAGGCTACACTTGCTGTGCTGGGGGTCAGGGAGCTCCTCTAGGCTGTGGAAAGACTGATGCTCTGGCACTGCCTTCTGGCTGTTCCAAGGACTGGCATGTCTCCATGCTGTCCACTCAGTAGGACCCAACACGTGCCTGATGCTCAGCTGCTTGTCCCTGCCCTGGCCCAGCAAACTGGCTCTTGGGACTTCAAAGCCACTGATTCTGGCTGCCTAGCTTGCTGGCAGATCCTCAGGGCTCAGCCATGTCCCCAGGAATATTCCTTCCTTCTCCTGCTGCCAAACCAGCAGGCTCTTGTGAGTCCCCACAGGGCTTGCAGAGCTGTAACCAACAGGACCCTGCACCCAGGCAGCAGTTGTGGCATATAGAGACACATACCTACAGCTGAGGCTCGGCATTGGTGAGCAACTCTCTTGATCCTAAAATCCCTGAGGCCTCCAGAGATTATTAACAAGAGCCCACGTACAGCAGCATGTGTGGGGTTGGAGCGGTTGGTCCCAGTTCTGTGCCTCAAAAGCATGGACTCTCCTAATCCAGCAGCCCTTTGTCCTGGAAGCCCCCTGCCCCTCTCCTTGCCAGCACTAAAGTTGGACAGCAGAGGCCCTGGAGCTGCTCTCAACCCCACTGCCCATCCAGATGAGGTTAATTTAAGGAACTCCATAAAGTTGTCACTTTTCTAAGATGTGTTGGGTGGGATCATTTTGTGCTGAGGACAGAGGCCCAGGGGGCCGGCAGGGTTACTAATCATACCTTTCACAGGACCCGAGACAAGGGAGAATATCTGAAGACATTAATTTTTACCACAAGTGGCTTTTCAGAGACGGGTTACTTCTCTATGCTCAAAAGGAACCTTTGGGGCTCAATCTGACCTCAGTTGTGCCAGTGTAGTGCTGGAGTAACTCCATGGAGTGGGTGATATCCAGATCAAGCCTTTTGCCACAAGGCCAGTGATGCTAATTCAGCCCCAAGGATGTCAGGAGAACAGCTGTTCCCAGCTGTCACCTTTGTATTGTGCTAGTTCATAACACAGGTGTCCATGTTACCCAAACCCTGAGAGATGGAGACAGCCACAGGGACTGAGCTCCTTAGTCCCACACGGAGCCCATTGGGTCAGCAGAGAGGCATGTTGCTGAAGAGACTTGCAGTGATGCAACCTGTGCTGTCCCTGTAGTGTGGCCTCAGCCACATCAGTGAGTGTTAGTCCAACCCTCAGACAGTTTGGAAGGAGTTTCCCTGTCTCTGCCTGTTTGAAGCCCCTAGGCTGTATCTCTTTCACCTGGGCCCAATTCTGCCTTTGCTTATCCACATGCAGATCCCTTGGTCCCAATTTATGGCCAAGAAAAACAAGGCACAGATGGGTGAAGTAATTTGCTCAGGGCTTTAGGAGGGAGTTGGTGTCAGCCCTGGGATCAGAATGTGAGAGATCTTGGTTCCCCTGTCTCTTCCTGCCCCACACTTCTGAGTTAACAATACATTCTTGCCTGTAACACTGCTCCCACTAACTGCAGTACTCAAGAGGGGCTGAGCAATGTTCCCTCTAAGAAGTAGCGGTCCGTGAGTGCTCTGCTTCAGTCCTGCCTCCCCCTTTCAGCATGGCGTGGTCCGCTGGTAAGTGTCCCAAAGTAAGTGTCCAGGTGGGAGTGGGCAGGGTTCAGCCACCACCCTTCTCCATGCTAACTGCTGCCCAGAGCAGCGCAGTGGAGTGCTGTGGGGCGATAGACCTGAAAGGGAGGCACTGGGGCTGGTGTGGGACACTTACTGAAGGTACGCTCCTCACTCCTCATGCAGGGGTCAGGCAGAGGCTCCTCCCTGAGCTGGAGCAGAGATGAGCAGCTTTTCCAGGGCAGTGGGTCACAGCTGGTGCTATAGCAAGTTGCCATGAGTTTGGGAGTGGATAATAGTCTTCTGGTATATTTATTTAGCGTATGCTGTTTTGGCATATTGTTTAGCTGTCTTAAGATGATGTCGTCCCCAGTGTAAAGAATTTGAAGACCACCGGGTAGACACAAACAGACACAAGTGAACAATGTAGGACATGGTTTGAACTTGTCCGCAGGGGCATTTGTTGTCATTGTGAAGGCTCCATTGGTATAGGTTGAGGCACAGTGACCCTGTCCAGTTCAAAAACGGTTGAGAAGTGCCCAATAATGGCATGGGCAGTGAAATCCTGGATGATTGATTATAGGGTCAGAGATGATGTGGTGGTTAGTTTGTGCATGTGCTGACCATTCTTCATGCCGTCTAGTAATTAAGGAAAATCAAAGGATTTTGAAAGGGTGGAGCATGTTGGACATCTTATGGGGAGCCAAGCTATTGATGGGTGGAATATGGTCCAATGCATTGACTGCGTAGGATTATCAAGAAGTCTGGCTAATAAGTTTGTTTGTGCAGTGGAGATGAGGGGGAGCAATGTTACTGAGGGCTGGTAACCATGGGAGTGGAGTGGGGCACAATGCCCCTGACACAAGACACATTGTAGCATGCAGTTGAGTGTCCACTAGTTTGCTGAGTGATGAACGAGCACGTACACGGGCATAGTATTCTGAAGTTGAAAAACAGCGCAGGAGCAGATGAACATGGTGTGGAGGCATTGGCATCCCATGTCTGCTGGTAGCAAAGCAGCTACTTTGGTACAGTGGCTGAAACCCAACATTTATACCTGTGTCACTTAGTGTAGGTGGAACCCCGCTTTTCCCCATTTCTCGCCTGGATTCAAGAAAGTTACACAGGAGTATGGCTGCACATCGAGTGCCCACTCCTTACTTAGGCCTAGGTAAAGGTTGATTATGTTGGTGTAAACACATCATATACCTGACCCCTAAGAGCCCAGTCCAATGACAGCATGCACTATCCTGGACTGGCTATAGCAGGGTCTCCACCCCAGAGTGCTGAGGGAATTAGCTGAGGTCATTGCGGCACCCCTGGCTTTATGAGCACTCATGGTGCTCTGGTGTGGTGCCAGAGGACTGGAAAAGGGCCAATGTGGTTCCCATTTTCAAAAAAGGGAGGAAGGAGGACCCAGGAAACTATAGGCCAGTTAGTCTTACC